TTGCATATGCACTTCTGAGTTTTGCCCCAGCAGAAATTTGCCCCAGGAAAACTACAAAACAGCATGTAACATTTTAGAAACCAGTCTGAGGCCCTTTAGAAAATTTTCCCCAAAATGGTCAGAATAGGCAGTGCATCATTCCTGTATTTTTCATTCACAGGTCTTTTGTAAACAAAAAGAAAATGTAAAGCTTGACCTTACCTTTTCTCAAAATGAGCCTGTAAAAAGGCTCCCGTCAATATTTTGGGGGAACTTTAGATAGATTCTCTGCTTTCCTGTGAATTGGAGAAGTCCTTCTGATTTCAGTACACAAGCAGGCCTGCTCAGGTGGCTTGAAACCGTTTAACTGGAAGCCCACTCCCTCTTTAGTCAGTATATAATATGATAGGGCTTCAACAGAATCAGGATCAAACCCACAGCCAGCCCACTCTTCAGCAAAACAGCAAGATTCTCCCTGCTACTTTTGTGGAGACAAATTTCCCTATGTGTAGAGCCCTGCAAATCTTCAGATACCTGCTTTATATCCACGAATATCTGAATCTACAGATGCTTGTTTGCGGATCAGATGTAGATACAAATTTTGTATCCACACAGGGCTCTATCTATATTTACTCCTTATGTGCCAGCATCATGCAGAGCTGAGCCTGTGGAGGGTACGTTAACAGAATAACATTGCACTAGCAACTGCTCAGTAAGTTAACGTGAGCCATTGGAAATAGTGTCCCGGCAAATATACAGGGCCAGATTTTTTAAGGAGTTATGTTGGGGGTCTGCATACAAATATACACCTATATTAAAGAATGTATATTAAAGCATCTGTTGTTATGCATGCAGATGAAGAGGTACTCAGCTACATTTGCACTTACAGTCAATGACTTGAGCCTGGCCCTAGTAGCCTTGAGCTCCCTTTTCTACTAACTTGTTTCCCAGCATCAGCTTACCCAAAAAGTATCTATATGTACACTAAACTTGTAAAATGTATTTGATCCAGTGACTTGCTACTGTGTAACTATTTCACATTGACAGGTTTCAGAGGAACAGCCGTGTTAGTCTGTATTCGCAAAAAGAAAAGGAGTACTTGTGGCACCTTAGAGACTAACCAATTTATTTGAGCATGAGCTTTCGTGAGCCACAGCTCACTTCATCAGATGTGTACCGTGGAAACTGCAGCAGACTTTATATACACACAGAGAATATGAAACAATACCTCCTCCCACCCCACTGTCCTGCTGGTAATAGCTTATCTAAAGTGATTCTAAAGTGATCTAAAGCTTATCACATTGATCACCGTTTGCAAAAAACCATGAGAGTAAAAACATTAGTGTACAAATGTGGAGGAGAAACATGGAAAATCAGAGCAACAACATAAGACTGCCCGTACTGGGTCAGACCAGTGGTCCATCTAGGCTAGTAATCCAGTCTTCCAAGGGTGGCCAGTGCTAAAAGCTTCAAAGGGAATCAGCAGAATAGGGCAACTATCAAGTGATCCATTCCCTGCTGTCCAGTCCCAACATCTGGCAGTCAGAGGGTTAGGGACCCCCTAGAGCATGGGGTTTCATCCCTGGCAATCTTGGCTAATAGCAGTTGATAGATCTGTCCTCCATGAATTTACCTAATTATTTTTTGAACCCAGTTTTGGCCTCAGAACATTCCCTGGCAATGAGTTCCACAGGTTGACTATGTATTGTGTAGCCATGTTAGTCTATATCAGCAAAAAGAACGAGGAGTACTTGTTTATGGCACCTTAGAGACCAACAAATTTATTTGAGCATATTTATTTATTTGTTGGTCTCTAAGGTGCCAGAAACAAGTACTCCTCATTCTTTTTGCTGATACAGACTAACACGGCTACCACTCTGAAACCTAATAATTTTTGTTGCCCTTCTTTGTACCTTTTCCATTTCTAATGCATCTTTTTTGAGATGGAACAACCAGAACTACGCTCGGTATTCAAGATGTGTGTACACCATGGATTTATGTGGTGGCATTATGATATTTATTGTCTGTTATCTTATTAGCCTTAAGGGTTCCTAACATTGTTAGCTTTTTTGACTGCTGGGTCACATTGAACGGATGTTTTCAGAGAACTACACATAATGACTCCAAGATCTTTCTTGAGTGGCGACAGCTAATTTAGACCCCATCATTTTGTCTATATAGTTAGGATTATTCATTACTTTACATTTACATTACAATATTTTACATTACAATATTCATTACTTTACATTTTTCAACAAAAGAGTATATTTCCAATTTTCAGCTGACATAATTTGATTTATTCTTACTTATTTAGCTTTGGTAGATTTTGCTGTTAATGAATCAGCAGTATATTTATTATACTGTTAAACAGTGTCCTAAATTCATCTGGCATAAAGTAACTGTTTTGAAAAGTCAGTTTACTGATTATATCCACTAAAATATCTGCACACATTTAGCTAGGATCTAAAAGTGCATCTAATTGTTGAGCAGAAAAATATAGCTTAACAATGGCTTTAATTTTTGCAATCATAGTAGCTTTCTATTTCAGCATTTTAAAAAAACCCATCACCTCTTGTAAGCAACTAGTCATAAGTACCTGTAAGCAAATGCCAATTAATTTAAACAAAACCTATTCTATTAAATTCTTTAGATATTTTTTGTAAAGTTATTGAATGGAAAGAAAATTAATTGCACACTACACAGGGTAACTAATTAGTAGGAAATCAGTTATAGGCTATGCATTTTTAAATGTTGATATTTAAAGAACCTCATACATTCCATTTTTAGTTTTTGTGTTATACAAAATAAGATACTTTTCTGAAGGCTGGGTGGTTCCTTTCACTGCTGCAAGTAGATGGAACTGGGATCCATCATCTCGCTCTCTCTCAGGGAGATGTGTCTACTCTGTGTTCTCCCCTCTATGAGACACCCCTGAGAGTGATCGGTGGGATTTGGGGATAGGGAGCAGAGCAGATGATCAGCTATTCTCCTTGGCATTTCCTCCTGCTGACTCTTTGGATTTTAAAGAGGAAATGCATTCTGGAGTCAATGCTACTAAAGGCTACTGCACAGTGCACAGGAGATACAGCTAGTAGTAGCAAGGCTCCTTTGAGCTGTGCTGCTATAGAGAAGAATCAGCAGGGCAGCATATTTTCTCCATGGAACTAGTGGTTTCCTTCTTTGTGCAGCCCCAGGAGCTGTAGGAGTGGGAGACTATGCCCGTTGTATGCTCCCAGGTCCCCAAGGACCTGTCACCAAGGCGAGGATTGCTTGGAAACTCCACGGCGTAAACCTCACCTCAGTGTTTCCCAGCTCCTCTCCAAAGGGCTCTTTCACAAGAGGAAATTATCCAGCTAGTGGTATTTAATTGGTTTAGTAATTACTGTCATTACTACACTAGATTGTAGTCATTATTATGCTTAGCAAATTTTGGAAGCCTAGTCATAGAAGAAACACGTTAACAGTCCTAACTTTTATTGAACGACACTAATGAAGTCATTGATTTAGTGTTTTTAACATACACAAGCTATTTAACCACAATAACATTGACTTATCAGTATGAAAAGTAGAGAGTAGAGTTTTAAATGGGATTTGTCACAGAATACACAGCTTCAGAAATTGGTTGGCGGTATTAGCAACATCACTGTATATGAGAGTGTTAATGTGTTATATAGTATGAAGGAAAGATCCTAATTAAAATCTTGTTGCTAAACAAGTGACAAAGACCTTACAAACAGCTTGAGGCTCCAGGCTAGCCGTTGTTAGGCTTGAAGATCAGACTCGGTCAGTGAATGAGAAAATGTTTATAACGTGATTTGTTTTGTTCATAACACACAAAAATACAACCAAGCAGCATTAGTGGTTTATTCAGCGTAATATACATACTGCAATTTCTGGATATATTTCATAGTGGCTGCAGGAGTGAGCCATATCATTTAGACATTAGATAATATCAGAATAGGTATGTCTGCATGGCATTTGACCCAATTAAATTATTAGTTGGATACCAAAGGTGTCTCACTATCATTCAGGCTGAGTGTTTGTGAGGTCTGCGTTTGGCAGAGGACACCGTGGTATTCAAGAGCTCGGAACCAGCTTTTGCTCGAAGAGCACCTTGGCCAAGCAGCACATAGTGCTCCCAAAATGTGTAGTTTGGAATACATAGTCCTCTCACTTCTAGCAGCAACAGTCAGGTGTAGCCATTGAAATAAATAGCCTTAAACTGGTGTACAACTGGTTTGAGAGGCAAATCAGGCCTTGATTATTTATCATCCACATCAAAGGTAAAGATTTAAAGATAGGTATGTCTACACTGCACACTAAGCACAGGCTCTCACTCAGGTTTGAGCTCAAGCCCCCCTTCTATCCATCCATACACACACATCAGATTGACTCAAGTCAGCAAGCACTCAGGACCGAGATCCTAGAATGCTGCTCAGGGTATGGACCAGAGCCTGAGTCTCACTCTGATTTGGGCCCAAGCCCTGTCATTTTGTAGTGTGGATGCAGTTCACGTCGCAGAGCTGAGTCAGAAGGTCTGCAAATTTAGTGTGGACATGTTAGCATGGCTGAGAGACCTGGGTCCCGCAATTATAAACCTGGTATGGACACTCAAGCGCACGCTTGGAAACACAGAGACCACAAGCCCCACAGACTCCGGTTTACAGTGCGGCATAGACATACCCATAGTCACACAGTGTATGTGCTTTCTTTTGCAACAGCTAAAAGAGTAGTAATATCCTGACAGTTTAGCATCAGATTTTAAGATGCTCAGCTAAAATCAATGAGAAGTTTTGACTTCTGCCAGACTGCAGTTGTGTCTTTAAAAAAAATACATGAAGCTCATCAATGACCTAAGTGTAATGCTTGGCTATACTGAAGTTACAAAAGTTCCAAGCTTGCCATAATGCCAGAAACAGGTCAATTTGGGAGTCAGATACTCTTTTAAAATAGTGTATTGTACTTGTGTTAATGTGGATCCATAGTAAAAGAATCTAAACTCTCTATTTTTTATATTTCAGCTTTTACCAAATGCTGCCAAGAGTCTGGCTTTCTTATGGTGGTGAAATGTCAACAGGAAAATGCAGCCTTGAAAGAATGTCTAACTACCTAGTAAGTCACCCTGAAAAAAAAAATGTATATTGCTACAGTCATGATGCCATTGAGAAACTGGGGCAGGGGACAACCACCAAGACCTTTAGACAATGCCTGAGTTCATTATGTAGTTTCAGGGTGCTCTCAAAAAGGTTCCACATATCTTCAGATGATTCCAGAAGTGAATGGAGATGCTAAGCCTCTTCAAGCAAGTTTGCAAGGTGTCATGACTTCCACTACTGAATCTAGGTTGGGGTATTTTCTGAAGGAAAGCAATTATATCTTCAGTTTCATGGATCAGGGAAAGCAAGGCATCTTTTACACTAGCATTTTTTCTGAAAAATTTCCCATGGTTGTGAACACTGCTGCAGCTCTGCTGGTGGTAGCAAAGTGCTGGTAGATACTAATATTCTACCATGGTGTCAGAGACCTGTACTGAGCTCTCTTTTGAAGCTCTTGTTTGTCCAATGAATGTGAGCAATGAGTCTGGAAATTTCTTTAGTCTCTCTTGTACTCTATTAGGTGTCAGTATCTGCAGCCAGGCTGTTTTGAGGATTAATTATGTCACTCTAGGGCCAAAAGTCTGAAACTGAAGGGGGAAAAAATACATTAACATCGTTACCAGGAACTGTAGCAATTACTCTTGTTGGTGTTCAGAACAGTCAGCACCGTGTTATAACAACTTTAAATCAAAGGTATGTGTTGCCAGGCTCAAGTTAACAGCTCTGTTTATGTAGTGGAAGCGTGCATTGCTGTAAATATTAATCTGTATATTAATTGTGGACTTCCTTGTGGAAGTTGTATAAAATAAATCTTGATAACTTCCTTCAGTGGTGTGTGTGTGTAAGCGCTTCATTTCCTGGGGCCTTTGCAGCAGACTGTGGAGAACTCAGATCTGAGTATTGGGCGTACAGCAGATGTGCTACAGCAGGAGCCAGTATAGAACAAATGTGAAATTCAGATTATTGCTAAATCATAAGTGGTGTTTCTAAAAATTAAGGTGAATTGAAAAAATTAGTTAAATCTTCTGTTTATGGGCCCTGTCTTGTTTGTACCCGACTAAACACACTGTGCCCTTCACCATAACTTAGGGCAGATTTGGTTACTTAGGGTTTGTCTACATAATGGGGTAATGTGCTCTTCAGGGATGTGATTTCTGAAGCACACTGAAGTGTTGCACATTAGTTGGTCAGTGTAGATCCTGCTGATGCACACTAAAGGTTCCCTTTTGGGCTTTAATATGATACTGCTTGAAATAGCACTATGTTAAAACACACCAGCAGGATCTACATTGATCAATTACTGTGAGCTTTAGAAATCACACTCCCCAGTAGACAAGCCCTTAGTTGAAAAAAAGGCACAAATTGTGTATTCCTGCAGATATGAAGAGTGTGTTGACATGGGGAAATAGTCCCCACTAGTGGTTCTGGGGACGCACTTATTTTGCACTAAGAGTACCTTGGTGCAGTTTAGCTTAAATCCACTTCCAAAGCTAAACCACACAAAGTATCCTTGTGTGCAGTAAATATCCCCTAGTGCAGAAAATCTATTGCATTTTGAATGCAGACCCTAGCTTATTTTGCACTAACTCCTCTTTTCGAGAAGCCCTCACCTATCCCCTGATGAGATGATCTGCAGTTGTAGTTTTTTAATTAAAACCATTTTAAATATGTAGTGATTAGGTTATTAGCAATAGGTTCTATACATGAATCACAAATCTTGCTTATGAGTAAAAAGATATGTTCAGCTCCTATTACAAGTAAGTATATTATTCCATGGAACACAAGTTATCAGAGTAGTTTTATAGTTGTACAATTGCTTATCTTAAAATTAATGTTGAGAAAATAGCATCTGGTATCCAGGAAAAATGCAGTGGTTAGTGGGATTGTGATATCGGAAGTAGTTCCTCCGCTTTGTTCTTCCGCCATAGTGGCATACTTTAGGTCTGAAAACAACATACTCTCCAGCAGAAGGCAGTGTTAGGGAGGAGACAGATGCAAATTTAAGCTAAGTGCTATTGGAAAGAGGCAAATTCAAAATCAACTTGTGTGTGATCATTAAACTCAAAATATAAAGAGTTATTAATGCTGTAGGTAGCATCTCAGTTCCACAAATGTTATTAACTTCTTTGATTAAGGTAGAAGCCACAATATTGTTTGTTTTTTCTTTCTTGTAGCTATAATGATCCAGCATTTTATGAAGAATGCAAAATTGAATACTTGAAGCAAAGGGAAGAATTCAGAGCTACTGGAATTCCTGCTAAACAAAGACAACAGAAGCTTCCTACAAGCATGTAGCTAAATCCTAAAATGAAGTTTGGAAATTTACTTCAGTTATCGACATATACATTGATTTGGTGGAATAAGTACGTTAATTGAATAAGCAGACTCAGTTTTGTTTAAAAAAATCAATTTGTCTGAGGCAGGATTTGATTGAAATAAATGTATCTCATGTTGTATTTTGTGTATTAGGAATAAACTCTTTTATGAATGAATCCAAAATAACTAGGATATATTTTTGACCCGCTCCAAGGGTTTGCGGAACTCTGTCGTGTAGAGTATTTTGAGAAAAAAGTTTTTAAACCAATCCATTCTTACTGAACGTTCTCGTGTTTTATCCTCCCTCCACTAATATTCCTCTCTGTAGAATTTAAGACTTTTTTAATCAAAGGAAGACATTTTGCTTCTGTTTACCCAAGGTAATAAATTCCAGCCACTCTCTCTGTAAAAGAACAATTTAAGGTGTACCTTTAATTTATCATTTAATATTGTTACAGCTGCTGTACAACAAAACACTGTGTATGCATGAATCAGTTAAGTATAGAATATTTTTTTCAAGCCTATCTTGGGAAAAGTGCCCTATCAGGAACTGTTCAAACACAATATTTTTAAAATTCTACTTGTGACTATTTTAACTCTGATCAAATTATTTTAATGTCTGTTTTTTATTACTCAGCTAAAGTGTGATGATATAGCTCACTGCTGTAGAGATTATCATTAAAAGGAGTATGTAATATAATAACTAAAGGTGTAGTCAGGCCTGCACAGAGCACTGCTTCTGAGAGCATGCCATCTCAATCTTCATTACAGTCCCTTCCTCCCACTTCTATATCTAGGGCTACTGCCCCATTACTCATGAGCCCTTTAGAGTACTTTTCTCTGCTCAGGAAGCTCACATCTTAAGGAAACCTCTTTCAGAGACAGAATGTAACTGAGACACTGGCAGGAGCATAGTTTAAGGAAAAGGTATTCTCAATGTAAGGTTTCTTTTTAGAGAAAGCTGGATTGTGAGAAAAGACTTATGGGAAGAGAGGAAAAGAAACAAGAACATACTAGGCTAAAGAAGTCTCCAGAAGGGAGACAAGGCATGAAGTGTAATGGGAATTTTAACCATCACTTAAAAAAAAAAGCAGACCGTGCCCCAAACAAGATAATGCTAGGAGGTAAGAAAGGGTGGTAGAGAAGAGCAAACAAGAGGCATTAGGATTTATTTTGAAGTTTGCATGATGGAATGAATGGTCCAACCTCGGGAGGGGGAGAGATGACTGGTAATCTCTCTCTTTCTGCCAGGCCGTGTTACTCCATTTCATTTATTTTTAAACTCAGCATCTACAGCTGGAAGAGAAGGTGTTAGCAGATCAAGATATTGGTTTATAGAATAAGAAAATGGCTGCCACAGTCTGAAATTGGTCTCACAAAAATGTAGACCAAGAGCACTTCTGTCTTTCAAAGGGGAGAGGTTGCTTACTGAAATGTCAAAACAGTTAGTTTTGTATCATTCCTTCCCTACCTTCCTGTTTCAAAAGAAGTGATAATGCTTATATCATTAAAAACCCAGTTTACACAATGGAACTGAGTTGCTGCACTTGTGAAATTATTGTGGATGGTGGTAAGTAAGCAAATAATATGTGTATTAGAAACAAAGCTATGGGTAAGGCAAGGATCTAGTAATAAATCAAGGAAATGAAAGTGGTAGACAAAGCCAGACTTGTTTCTAGATATGTTATATAGCACTTTCTGTCTTTGCTTACTGTTTGAAAGAAACTCTTTAAAATGCGGTCTTGCACTTGGATTACTGCATCTGAAAAATCCAAGTGGGGGGGAAGGGGAAACAGGTGTGTTAGGTAAAAAGATAAAACTTGAAACTGTAGTGTTCTGTCTAAACATTAAAGGTCAGTTTCGGGGTGGCTATGTTTTGGGGAGTTTGTCTCTCTAGTAAAGAATCTGCTTGTAACTATTTTGAAGAGAATAAATTTTACAGCAGGAGACTTACATGCACTGTTAAGACCATAAATTTCAGAGAAGCAGCCGTATTAGTCTGTATCCGCCAAAAGAAAAGGAGGACTTGTGGCACCTTAGAGATTAAATTTATTTGAGCATAAGCTTTCGTGAGCTACAGCTCACATCGTCAGATGCATGCAGTGGATTATTTGAGCATCACAAAAGCTTATGCTCAAATAAATTTGTTAATCTCTAAGGTGCCACAAGTCCTCCTTTTCTTAAAACCATAAGTGTGTTTCAGATGAACAAATTACTTGAGTATGCAAGGCTCTGGGAAGCTTCTACTGCTTTTCTCCCACTGAAGAGGTTTGTCCAGTGATTTTTGTATTTAATTGTTGGCTGTTAGTACCTTTTATCACCACAGAGTATGGGTTGCTCCTGAATTATTGAAACGGAAAGTCTGCTTGGTCATGTGTGTCCTTGAAATTTGGAAATGTGAATATCTTAAATTATAGGTAGAAATTACAGTCCTAGCCTCCTGAAGCCTATGCCTATTACTTGAATAATCAAGAACACTACCCTTTTGTTTCAGTGGCATTTAGACTACTGAAATCAATGGGGTGTAGGTGTACCCTAATGAACTGGAAAGCCTGAGAACATCTGCAGATCGAGCTAGCAGTGACACCTATTAAGGGTTGCCTATCACTTTTTCTATTTTAACACTCTAGTTTCAGTTGCCAAGTTAAGTATATGCTAAGGTTTTCTACATTTGCTGTCTGGTGCAGGCAGATCTTTTTGGGAAGTTTCAGCTAAAGAAGATAAGCATTTCTGAGGATAGGAAGAAGAGGTTTTTTTTCAATATTAATTCCAACCATTCCTTTGGAGAAGGAACTTAAAGTTTAGCAGTAGGATGGCCTTTGGAACAGATGCTTTTTACTGTCCCTCTGAAAATCCATCAAGATTTGTCCAAATTATAAATTGCTCAAAAATCACCATTTGCACATGTTCAAAGAGCTCTTTAGGGGCTTGCTGCTAAAGTCTCCAGCAATTGACTCTTGATCATTCTTTTAAGGCCTGTGGGACTTAGCCTCAGCATTCACCAAATGCACAGGCCTTCTACTAACCAGGTGCCCTGGGCATGCTCCCAGGCCCCACTCAGCCTCTTGCATAGTAGGAGCTGGAGCTTCAGGGGGGACAGATGCACCAGTAGATAGGAATTTCTCCCGCTGCCTAGCAGAAGATATCCCAAGCTGAAAGCCAAAAGATGACCTTCCATTCACTAGTTTTAATTTTGTTTGCTTCACAGTTCTGATGCAACAAGCCTTTCCACTCGTAAGTTAACCATTCTCCTTCTGTTTTACGGATATGGTACCTGTGCAGTTGTCCAAGCTCACTGCTGGCAGAGCAGGCATTTGCACTGTCTCTACGCCGGCAGGCCCAAATCTCATTGATTGAGCTATGCTGACTGTTCCAAACCTTGACTTGACTACACTGTCAACCAGTAGCTCCTTGCTTTGTTCAGTGTCCAGGATGGGATGCCAGCTGGGTTCTGTTCCAGGGCAGTGCACATGCAACTTTAACTGATCAGCTGGAAGGGTGGTGAGTGAGGGCCCTGGCAGCAGAACAAGTGAAGTGCCTTCTTACTGTACTTCCAACCAGGGCGGGAGGTGAACTCTGCAGATGCACCTCCGGACTCTGCACTGACCAAAGATGACAACTGTGAGTGGGGTGCAGAAATGGGACAGGCATGTTAAAGGGACTTTTGGCTGATAGACTGAAAAGGACACTGCCAAACTTATTTGGCGGTGGGTCTTTTGCTGATGGTTTATGTTTATGAACCCTGTTTGTGATGATGTTTTCCCAAATTAAAGCCAAGTTATGTCCCTCCTTTTATTAGTTTCTTTTTTAACTCACACTCAGTTTCTGAGAGGGGAAGCATTGCCTCATGGGTGGGCTGTAATTGTCCTAGGTTACGGGGGGGGGGAGGGGGGAAGAGAGATGACTCGAGCTGGTTTTGTTGGAGAAACCCTTAGATATTGAACCTGACCCTTGTTGCTGTCAATTCCAACAGCGTGAAGGCACTATAGTGGAATTCATGCAGGTAAATCCTTAATGTTTTGAAAACCTGGCAGTTAAGTTGAGACACACAATGGAGTCTGAATATAAAGCATTAAAGTGAAGGAGACTAATACATTGATCTATGTGAGATCAGCAAGTCTGGAGTATGTCAACTCAAGGGTCTTAAACCAGTGTAAGATCAGAGTCAAGCCTACTATCTCCCAAAACTTGGCTTAATGAGAAGTTATAGAACCCTTCAATTTTTATTTTAATATTGTAGGTGCTGCAAACAGTTGGTATTGACTGAATATGGATACATCATTGTCATTCTGTAGTTACACTTTTTTTTTTAAACGTGAGCCAGAGCCAAATACCAGCAGAGTAACAGCAGTATAATCAATGGAATTAGGCTAACTCACATTAGATAACTATCTGGTTCTATAGTTTGCTTTCTTGTGCCTTCATCTCTGCAGTATGCCACAGAGTGGCTCCTGTACAGGACTGAAATGACAATGCAGCCCTATCCCTCTTTTTTACCCTGCACTGAGTTCAGGATAAAAGGGTGGGAGAGATTCAGATTTCCCCCTTCACCATGGAAGATTTAGTTGTACACTTTTCCAACATGTTAATTCCTCTTAGCACTGTGACATCTTAAGTACAGTTTTCTATCTTAAAATAAGAGGGAACCATCACATAAAGAGAGCCGTTCTGAGCACTTACAGCAGACAGCTGCAAGCCCCCAATGCAGTGAGGGCTTCGGTTGAAATCCTTTTAGGACTGCTTGTGTGGTACCTACTTACTCATCAGGAAGGGTGGTACAGTTAATTTTTGCCTATGAAAGTTTCCCCCCAAGTTTTGATTTTAGTTTGTACTATTCATTGTCTCTTTTTTCCAATCAACTTAAAGGGACTTAAAAAAAAAAATCTAGCCTTGCAACCACTACACCAAGCTTATTGTAACTGGAAGAGATGAAACCAAAAAAACCCATCTGTTCACTTTATACATTTGACAGCCTGTTAGGGGAAGCTAGTTTTGGTGCTTCACTTCTCTTCCCTCCTTGGCCTGGATATTTCACAGAGCAGCAAGGGAGGAGAAAAAAACCCCATGAAGTCAGTAGACTCAGGACAAAAGTTTCTGAAACTCTTACTACCTTTTGAATTGAAAGGGGACAGTGCCTCTAAATTTCTACTATGCCAGTGTTAACTATTAATAAAAA